AGGCAAAACCAGCCTCATCAAACAAGTTTGGGGGCTACTTCACATGAGAAGGTACATTTGATGGGAAGTTGGGGTGCTCCTAGTTATACGAGTACTCCCAAATGTCACATTTCAGTTGAAGTATATCTCTTTCTCAGTTAATTAACTGGGAAATTAGTTAACCTCATATAAATTCAATCCACGTTGTCATTTAGCACTGTGCAGGATTAGTCTCAGTGTCTGATTTTTCAGTCACCTCATGGTGGTCCCACTGGGTCCATAGAGTGAGTCCTACAGATATAAGAAATAAAAGGTTCTTTTAGAGCAACCATTGAAACTCCTGGTTTCCTAACTGTGCCACGATATTAAAGCCCTAAACTTGACCTTTTTTTCCTTTAATTTTTACGGTGAAGTGAGAAACAGCCAGCCCACTCCACTTTTCTTTTATTACTTTCCCATATATTCTCATATTGTTCTATCACATTCAGTCCAGCAAAGCTTTGCCTTGAATAGGCATTTTATTCCAGATGACCGCAAGTGGTTATTTAAATACTTGTTTCATCAGTGGGTCCATCACTGGAATGTTTACCAGTGTTCCAGCCTCTAAGGGTAACTAGATCCTCCTGACTTCAGACCCACCTAAACCAGATAGCCAACCCTAGATTCCCAAGGCCTTGAGTTGGTTTCCCACATGCACTTCTGGTATCATATTTTGAGCTGGTCAGGATTCAACAACAGAATTCACTCTAGCTAGTTTAAGCAAAAAGGTATTTATTACAGGGTATTAGTTTATAAAATTTCTGAGAGTGCCCGAGAAACAAGCTTAGTTGAGCACCTATTAGGTACTAAGTACTGCTCTAGGCCCTGGAACTTCAGTAATGGACAAGATAAAGTCCTTGCAGAATTACAAGTCTTTGAAGAAAAGTAAAGCACACTGAGGAATTAGAGAATGCCTAGGGAGGGGAGTAGGAGGAACAATAAACACAAAGATTTGGAGGTGTAAACAAGCCCGGCATATTCAGGAAATAGCAGAAACTAGTGGGCTGGATTGGAGTGGCTGTGGGGATGTGGTAGGAGATAAAGGTGGAGAAGTTCCTAGAAGTGAAATCATTAAAAGGCTGGTAGGCCGTAGTGACAAGTTTGGATTTTCTTCTAGGAAAGCAAGGATTAACTGAGAAGGACTCAGTTCATCTTGGGTAATGATAATGAAATCGTTTTCCATATTAAGTTATATAACAAACTAAAACAAAGACAGTGAGTTCTCATGTCAGCATCGAGAGTCCCTGGAGTGGTTGAGAGGGCTGTCTCCGAGCAATCCAGAGTCCCTGATCATGTTACCCTTACAAACCCATTCAATCTTGAACTAAGATGTCTAGTTTCTGCTTTTAGGCCTTCATTATTACTTTAAGTATTTGTTTTTGCGCTCACTCAAAGTATAGTATTTAAATGTTGAGTATCAGTAGATTTCTACAGAAGGTTTTATTTCACTCCAAAATGCTTTGAAGAGTGTTGCCTGTGGCTGAATAATGTTGCAATGCTCTATCTTTCTGGAATGGGCACTGTGTGAGTCTGTATTCTCTTTGATAACTATCTTCTGTTTGTAAGATCAGTGGTATTTGTTTGTTGTTGTTACTTTGTATATAAACTTTGTTTTGCCTAAGATGGAATCTGCCTTCTTGGAATCTGAGCTAACTAAGGATTCTGTTTTGCACAGGGCTGTGACACTTCCTGTGAGATGCCATTAAACACTCCTCTTCCATAGCAATAGCTCGGGACTTTCCTATGACATTATTTCATGCCTGATTCTGTGTTATTAACACTAGTAATCAGGGTTCCGCCAGTTTCTGAACCCTCATGCCTGCCTGGTTTCCCAGTTCCAGAACCTGGTCCCCTGCACCTGTAGTACTTAGGGCCAGCCAGCATTGTTTCCACATGAATAGGGCCATGTGTTACTCTACCCATTACCTCCCAAGGACTGAAGTCCATTTCCCTTCCCTCCACCACTACTGCCCTAATCTGAATCACCAAATCTCACCTGGATTATTAAATTAGCCTCCTAATTAATCTCTCTGTATCCACTTTGCCCCCAGATCCATTCTTCATATTATGTCTTGTCCTCTTGAGTCCTTTCAATGACTTCTCTTTGTACTTAGAATAAAATCCAAGTTTCTTGCCAAGATTTGTAAGGCCCTCCGTGGTTTGGCCCCTGCCGGCCTCGCCATCTTCTTCACTCATGCTTTGGCCACGCTGGCCTCCCTATTGTGTCTCCCGCACTCCCATTCTTTCTCACCTCAGGGCCTCTTGCTGTTCTTTGGGGGCTCTTTTTGCTTTGTACAGTCTCAGTCCCGTCTACTGGCCTTATCTGATCTCAGACCTTCACCTCCTGAACCTATGTAGATGTTAAAACCTGGACTCTTAAGGGATAAGACTTCTCAACAAATTTATGGGGTGTTCCGTTTTTACACATGAGGAAAACTGAAGGCACAAATAACTTGCCCAACGTTATAAAACTGGGAAGCAGCACAGCTGGGATTTGAACTCGATCTCATAGTGCTCAAAATGGCCATACTATTCTTTCTGACTTTTATAAAAAATATTTAAACAATGTTGTCTCAGGTTTGGCTCTAGGTAAAGGGGGGAGAAGGATAAAGTTATATTAGAATTCAGTGTAGGAAATAGAAACCACTCTAGACATTTCAAGTGGAAAGGGATTTAATACTGAGAATTAGGTACTTTCACATTAGTAACAATTGGAAGAGCTGGAGTTAAAGGACTGCTGACAGATCACTGATGTCAAGAGCATGCCACCATGATTGTGATCTGAGATCGAGAATCTGCTCTGAAAAAAATACCTGCATATACTTGTTGCTATTTCTTGGCATAGTCCCCAACCTCACATGGTGATGTCTTGTCATAGCGCCATACCTGAGTCATACAGAGGTCATCCCCCTGCTCTGTAAGACCAGTACATCTGCATGATGAGTTCAGTTTTTAAAAAGTGAACTAAATGTATGATTTAAATATCCAAACTTGGATATTTAAATATTGAATATTAAAACAGAGTGATGAGAGTGTTTGGAATTTTAGATAATTTTAAATTTTTTAATTAAAAAATCCTTACAATAAACACTTAGTAAAGGAAATCTTGTGTTTCACATTTTGAAAATATGCAAACGACAACCCCATCTCTATGAAAAATGTTGAAAGATAAACAATACACTGAGAAAATATTTGTAGCATATGTGCAGACTCTGATATATATTGAGTCTTCATAAATAAATTTTAAAAAGATTAAACAGACCGATCAAAAAAATGATAAGGGGCATGAGCAGGAAATACACAAAAGGAGAAATGTAATGTCCAATAGTCATGTGAAAATTAGTCACTAATCATTAATGCAATGCAAATGAAAACCAAAATGAGATATCTTTTTATTTTAACCAAGATTGGCAAACATAACATTGGCAAAACCGAAGGTTGGTAAGACACTAAGGAGATAGGGATTTTAATGCACAGGTGTTTGGTGGGAGTGTAAGTGGATATAACCTTCCTTAGAGAGGGTAGTTTGTCAGTATGTAACTGTGAAGGCGTCATCATGAGACAGTGATGTGAGCAATGGAAAGACATCAACAGAAAGTTAAAGGGGGGGTTTGGCCCCGTGGCTTAGCGGTTAAGTGTGTGCACTCCGCTGCTGGCAGCCGGGGTTCGGATCCCGGGCGCGCACCGACACACCACTTCTCCAGCCATGCTGAGGCCACGTCCCACATACAGCAACTAGAAGGAAGTGCGACTATGACATACAACTATCTACTGGGGCTTCGGGGGAAAAAATAAAAAAAATAAAAAAAATAAAAAATTAAAAAAAAAAAAAAGTTAAAGGGACTGTAACTGCTATAATTTATAGTGATGGTTCCACAAAGTATACAATCCCAGACAGAATATGTTACCCAGATCCCCAATTTCCCAATGGAAAATACTTTCAATATTTCCCACACGGAATGAGACTTCTGCAAAGACAAGAAGCTCCCAGCCTCCCATTCTCATGGGACCCTTATTCTCCCTGGCCCCCACAGCTATGTACCTATCTGCTTACCAGGTGTAAGTAACTGTTACAAAACAACTCTAGCACTTGAGTGTTTACCACCAACATGAGGTGTATGAATTGAAGGTGAGTCTTCAAGCATGCCTTTTTTCCCTACTAAACTAGGTCTCAGATCTACCTGAAGTTCATACCTGCAGGATCAAAATGTAACTTGTGCCTACCATTGGTCTCAGAAATCCCACTTCTAGAACTTACCTTAAAAAGATAATTGCACAACTGCAATAAGATGGATGATTACAGATATTCATTGAAGCATTATTTCTAGAAATAAAAATTGGGTCAACCTAATTGCTCATCAGTGAGCACTAACTAAGTAAATTATGATACATCCATATAATAAGATCTACAGCCACTAAAATATATGTGTAAACATATTAGTATTTGTACCTCCATGCATGAAATGTTTCTGAAAGAGTCGGGGAAAGTTGCAGAGGAAGAAATGGGTAACTAGGCAGGTGTGAGAGAGAATTCTTCATGGATATACTTTTATACTTTAAAAATTTTGAACTATATGAATGCATTTATTTAATAAAGTTAAAAAGTAAATGCAGAGAAAAATGGAGAAACAGAGACGACTGAAGGGACAGCCATTGCAAGTTACCGCAATTATTTTGGGATAGCAAGGTTTGAGTCAACACTTTTTATTCCTTTACTTTTCTATATTGTTTGAACTTTTGTCATAAGTATGTATCATTTTTACAGTTGTAAAATTTTCAAATTACAAAAGAAAATTAAATGACTAAAATGAAAAAATAGTAAAGCAATTTTCATTAAAACATTAAAAAAAAACATTTCCAAGATGCCCTTTGCACTGTGCACATTGGCTATGACAAGCCCCACCCATGCCAATTCTATTCCCAGCCCCTGCTCTTGAAACTGTATTCTAGGAGTTTTCATTTTCTTTTTTTTTTCCCTCCAGAGTTGCTGATGGAGTGATCAAAAGCATATTATGGCAAACACTTCAAGCTCTTAATTTCTGTCATAAACATAATGTAAGTAACATTTTCTAATGTATTTGTTCATTTCTTCATGATGACTCTCTTTTTCTAAATAGTTCAAGGGTCTATGAAGAGGGAAAGTGAGAACGGGAGGAGCAAAACAAAAGGAAGTTACAGAATATGAGGAAAGCAATTCATGTCCCTTTTCCAATTTCTGTAAGAATCAAATTACTAATTCCTCATGAATTAAAAGTTTGTATAAACTTAATATTTCCTTTTGCTGCAGTGCTAATGATTCCTATGATTTTTTCTGTGTGTGTGTGTGAGGAAGATTCGCCCTTACCTAACATCTGTTGCCAGTCTTCTTCCTTTTTTTTTTTTTTGCTTGAGGAAGACCAACCCTGAGCTAACATCTGTGCCAATCTTCCTTTATTTTGTATGTGGGATGCCTCCACAGCGTGGCTGACAAGTGGAGTAGGTCCTCGCCCAGGATCCGAACCTGCGAACCTGGGCCGCCGAAGCAGAGCGAGCCAAACTTGAACCACTTGGCTGTGGGGCCGGCCCCCTATGATTAGTTTTAAATTGGGTTAAAATAAGTTTTCAGGATACCTGTAGTGTAATGCACTATGGCATTTGGTTTTATTTTGGTTTTATGTCTCTTAAGTCTTTTACTCTCTAACCGTCTTCCTCCCCCTACCTGTTTAAACAATTTTTCCATTGTTAATTTTTTTAGAGCCTTAGTTCTCAAACTTAAGCATGCATCAAAATCCCCTTGAGGTCTTGTTAAGACACAGCCTGCCAGGCCCCACCCCCAGTTTCTGATTCCATAGGTCTGGGGTAGGGCCTGAGAATTTGCATTTCTAACATTTTCCCAGCTGATACTGAAGCTGCTGGTCCAAGAACCACACTTTCAATACTGCTGTGTTATAGAAATCATTTTGGCTCATTGCTTCCTGTGTGGATTTAACTTGTTCTTTCACCCGTATTTCCTGTAAATTGGAATTAATATCCAGAGGCTTGGTCATATTCAGGTTCAGTTCTTTAGACAAGAATACTTCATTTATTGTGCTATACACTTATGGCATCACCATCCTGAGGCATATAATGTCTGGTTGTCCCACTTTGGATAATCTTGAAATAGATTAGCGGGTTCAGGAGGTATTAGTTTGATCCCCTCCATTATCAATTTCTGTGTCAACCTTTTCGCTTGATGGTTTTAGCATCCATAGGTGATTACTGCCTATATCTAATATTTCATTAGGATTAAAAGATGGTGATTTTCTAATTCTGTTATTCCTTCTGCATTTATTAATGGGAATTCTATGGAGAAGAACTTATCCTCATGGACTCTGCCGACTGTAAAATACAGTAAGATAAATATGTGATTATTTCCTTTATTTGTCAGTACTGAGAGTGATAAGTTGGCGTCATAGTGACCTCCAAGAGTGAACAATGAAGGGCTTTTGGGGGGTGTAGGACATCATTGTAAACTTACGGATCTTATATATCTGATGAGTTTCAATCCTTTGCAATCATTGTTCTCTCTGATGAGCAAATTGTCCCATCTTACACCAGTGGGAGCTTCTTTAAATTGGCTTCTGGGTGCTTGTGCTATAACGATAGTTTTTAAAAAATAGCTCTAGACCTTTTGAATTGGGGCCTACACAGAGGCAGTGCTGAGGCGAGGATACAGACCACCATATGGCCAATTTTGATGCCAGCAGAATGTCTATCATAGTGGTCTAGGATTGCTGAAAAAGAGTAAAGATCATGGAACTAAATTTCAATTACTTAGGAGAAGCTTCCTTTAGTTTTAAGAAAGGCAGTGAAGTTTTTGTTAGTATAAATCACAAGCTTTTATTTTCTGTTAATAAAGTATAGAGTATTGTTCACGAGATACATAAACCTGTTTTTCATGATGCAGATTGTGCTTTCAGTGCTTACTAAAGATGATGCTGAATTTAATTCACATCTCCGTTGCTTTGCCCCATGCTATGGGAGGTATTAGAGTTCACCTAAGGTCGCTGCAGGAGTTTTATGAGTAGTTAAAATGATTTTTTAAAAATTCTGTTTACCATAAGCATTTGTACTTTATCCCTATATAAGCAGACACTTTCCTGTGTGCAGTGTCCACAACTTGAATGCAATGTCTGTGGCTTACTTATCTTTGTATCTCTTCAATGCCTAGCATGGATCTTTTTATATAAAGGGTGCTCAATAAATATTTACTGAATAACTGGATGAATGAGTGAAGCAATCACTCAATCAGGTAGGTACTTACCTACCTGATTGTGACTTACTATTTCCAGCAGACCCAAACATTATTGTAGCTCAGTGCAGCTGCCACCATTTCTCTGCTTGGAACAACACGTTCTGTACTTTCAGCTTTAAAATATTGAAAACCTCCAGTAGATAATCTATGACCTCTACTAAAAAATGGATAATTTTTCATACAAACTTCCCTCCTCCAACATGGAAATTACTTCTAACTTTGGTTATCTCATTTTCTTATGCTGTGGTAAGCCTTTGTGTATCTGTCCTTTTATTTTATCTATTAGCTAAAATGCATGCAAAGGAAAAAAATCTAAGTCATATATAAGCTGTTACAATACTGCTTCTAAAACGTTTATACTCTCCTTATTGTTAAAGGAACCTTCATGATACTGTCGAAGAATAGAAAAGGCGATCTGACCCAATGGTCTTGCTGCAGATTCACAGCTTTCAACCTATGCAGATCATGACTATCTTATCTCCTGAGTGGTGATCCTAACCAAGACAGGGAAGGTTAAAGTAGAAAGGGATTAAGGCCTTGCTGCTCAAAGTGTGGTTCATAGAGATCACCTGGGAGCTCATTAGAAATGCAGACTCTCAGGCCAGTTCTACATCTACTGATTCAGAGTCTGCATTTTAACAAGATCTTCAGGTGATTCATGTGCACATTAAATTTTGAGAAGCACTGGACTTAAGAAAATACCTACTCATTCTGTTCTTTTTTATCCTATAATATTGCTAAAGTGACCCATTTAGCATCATTATCAACTCATGGATTTTTATATATATTTGATGTATTGACTAGAGAAAAAGAGCTTCATCTCAAAATGACAAAACTACAGTGACCTCCAAGATATGAGTGTGTCAGGCTGCAAGTCTATCTTCACCTTGTGGATATTAATGTTCTGGTTGTCAAGAAGGAGGTCTCGTCCCTCTCTCCTAAGTATCCATTTATAAAGCTCAAAGAGTATCCATTTCTCAGATAATGGAAAACTGTTGTTCAGTAAGGCTATATAAGAAGCAATTTCTGGTGTGGAAGTTTCCAGAGATGATTCTTAAAGTTAAGGGTCAGATTTAAAATTCCATGAATACCTCTTCTTGCTGGCTTGTGAGCCAGTAAAAATGAGATTGTACATCAGCCTCAATAACCCAACTTGAGCAATATTGGCTAAAAGCTGTGTTTGAAACTAAAGTTTATTAAAATTCTTCTGTTACACTGACTTGCAAGTTTCTTGTTCTTTGGTGGAAAACAAGCTGATTGCAAGAGGCTCTGCTGAGTTTGCACTGGGTGTGGCTTTGCAGTGGAAAGTGAATGCTGTGTGTCTAAGCGTCTTCTGCCCTCCATACTCTGTTTCTCACTGTTCCACTGATTGTTTTACTTTTTCTTTCTTCAATATCCTATCCTTCTTTATTAGTAGCTTCTCTTACCTACACCTACACCAATAAATTTTTCTGTTTCTTTGGGACGAATCAGTACTTCACTTGCCTTTGTATTTTTTGGTTGGAAAATAAGTTGCTGTAAATTTCACGTGAATTTGTATTAGATCCAAAAAACATTTTTTTTTTTTTGGTGAGGAAGATCGGCCCTGAGCTAACATCCATTGCCAATCTTCCTCTTTTTGCTGAGGAAGATTAGCCCTGAGCTAACATCTGTGCCCATCTTCCTCTATATTGTATATGGGATGCCACCACAGCACGGCTTGATGACCAGTGCATATGTTCGCGCACGGGATCCAAACCGGCGAACCCAGGCCGCCGAAGTGGAGCGCGCAAACTTAACCACTATGCCACCGGGCCAGCCCCACAAAAAACATATTTAAATAGACCAATAGATGGGTATCAGTGTAAGTCCATTTACTTGGTAATGCCCACATAGTCCAGAAATTTTAGAATTTGATGCACGCTCATTCAAGGGACATAACCTGCTTTTATTAAATCACCTACTATTGTAAGTGAGTAGACTCAGAGTGTTAATCCAAGTTTCATAAATGTGTTGCCTAAAAGGTAGGACAAAACTGTGCTGGTTTATATTACAACAACGTATTTTTAAAAGTTAATACCTAGGGACTTTGGACTTTTAAGAGGTTCTTCTAACTACTGTTCATACAAATTATGAAACAGTTGACAGTAATTGAGACTAAATAGAAACAAGCTTCTGTTACCAGTGCCAGTTTTGTGAGCTAAAATGAATTTAGGGTTCAACATTTTCTCTTCCTAGAGAGCTGTTATAGAAGCAAAGAAAAACTATTTCAGAATCATCAGTTGGACGGAAATACTTAAAGGGACTGACAGCACAGCAGAGAAGTGAGGCAGGAGCTGATTACTGTGGTACCTAATCCGGGGACTGTCAGTGGCCCCCTGTGATCACAGGATTGCTGCGAGGATGAGCTAATTCATGTGCAAGAGCTTTGAAAAGTACAGAGCTCCATGAGGGCTGAGTTGTTGAAGAAGAGCAACATGGTTTTTATCTATTTGCTTGTTTGGAGGGAGGATAAACTGGAAAGCTAAAGTTCTGAAGAAGAGGGCCTGCATTGTTTTCTCCTGGGGCCTCAGCAACATGGAATAGCCATTTCTGGGATAATGAGGAGTGACACTCAGCCCGCCTTCATCCATGCGCCCAGCTTAGCCCTGTCATGTCTGACAGGGAGCATCTGCTTCATTCAGGGTCATTATGATGATACAGCAAACTGTAAGGTGTCTACATGTAAAAGACTACCGGGAGCTTCTCTGAAGTGGGAATGCCTCACGGTGGTGTCCTGCTGTCCCAGGAGGGCCTCCGACAGCATTGTGTGGTCCTCTCTCAGGAAGGCTGCTAATCACTCCAGGTTAGCTCACTGTTGAGGAAATGGAAGCGGTACTCATCCCGTGAGGCTGAATGCTTTGGTATCTCTGAATAAGTAGGTGACCATACATCCCAGCTTACCCAGGGCGGTTGTGGTTTGTGCCTGTTGTCCTCGCATGGTTGTTCATAGAGCTCCCTTTCACACATTCTGATTTGGATGATAAATAATATGGTCACTCTAATTATACGTGAGTTTTGTTTTCTGTCATTCGAATGTTTTTCTAATTTCTCAATTCTACAATACTTATTCAACCTGAATTGTGATTCTTGGGTGGCAGGAGTTCTTATTAGAGGTACACTGTGTGTAGGTCTAATCTCATTCAGGGTTTTACCTCTTACAGTTTAAATAGGGCCCAGTAAAAAGTGGAAGAAATAATTGTATGATACTTTCTTCTCTAAAAAAACAGTTTTCATATCCCATAATTATAATTTCTTCACTAATATAGCAACATTTTGATTTTTTTTCTCTTGGTATGATAAGATTTAAAAGTGAAAAATTGCCAATTTAAGTTCTTTTAGAAAAATGAAGGAAAACCATATTTTTTTTTATCCCACAGGCTATATTTATCATTTAAACTAGTAGTTAATGTTTATTATGCTTTGTCATTTTGATGGCTAAGAGAAATAATCAAACATTATCTTACAGTGTATTCACAGAGATGTAAAACCTGAAAATATTCTAATAACTAAGCAAGGAATAATCAAGATCTGTGACTTTGGGTTTGCACGAATTCTGAGTAAGTAGCAATTTTTCACTAACTTATCCAATTCAGATGATTATGAAATGATATAGTTTAAATTCTTACTTTAGGTATTGAACACATGCTAAACATTATATTGTTATTATTCAAAAAGGAAAATCTCACTTTAACCTTTTAGTCAGTACATTAGTTTGCACTTCAACTCCACACCATCCAACTAGAATTTATTGGATGTCACGTTTATGTGCTTTGCCTTGTCGGAGAGGGAAAAGAATTGTAAAATGCACTTCTGCTCTTCATGCACTTATAATCTGAAGTAAAAGAAACAAAGTCTAATGCAAGATGATTGGCAATAAAGTACTAAAGAGAAGGTGCACGTGGTTCCCTGGAGGGAGATGTTAATGTAGGCTAGAGTGGTTGGAAAAAATTTCACGGAGCTGGTGAGATTAAAAGAGTACACTGAAAATTAAAGAGAGGATTCAGAGACAGTGCTGAGAAAAAGGAAATCATCCCAGACAGGGATGAACCAAAGGGAAAGGGGGATAAGTAATTATTTCTCCCTGAATCTAGAACTGTGCAGCAGGCAAAAACATGTATTAGCAACATACACGTTGCAAGGTGGGTGAATACATAATCAGTATCCTGACAGGACCCAGGCACAGGTGACTTGACAATGCATTTGGAAGTTGGTTTAGACTTCAAGTTACGCTATAGAAATTCTCATTACCCCTTCCTCTGTTTGGATTATATAGATGTTAACTAGCTAAGGGACCTTTGGAAGTTGAATTTACTATCTGAGTGCACAGTGTAACTGTTTACTCGATTAGTGCCTCACTGCATTAACTGTGAGGAGTACTGTGCCCTATGAATTGTTAAAGCTTGCCTGAATGCCTGACCTGCTCCTGAAGGTAGTTCGTACATTGGGAGAATGTGACGCACCTGATCTGATTGACCCATTTGCAGTTCCAGGAGATGCTTACACTGATTATGTCGCTACAAGATGGTACCGAGCTCCTGAACTTCTTGTGGGAGATACTCAGTATGATTCTTCGGTAGACGTATGGGCTACTGGTTGCGTTTTTGCAGAGCTCCTGACAGGCCAGCCACTCTGGCCTGGAAAATCAGATGTGGACCAACTTTATCTGATAATCAGAACACTGGGTATGAATCGCATTTTATGGCTTACAGAGTTGCTCAGTTGTAGTAATAGCATGTCGTTGTAATGAACAAGAGCTTTCTTGCTTCTCCAAAGTGCTGCTTGGGATGGTGGTTCTGGGTTGTAGCCAAAGCCCAACCCTTTTCTTAATCTGTAGAGCCATAACTCCTCTCAGTGAGGAGTTTTCAGATGCCTTCCAAGTCAAGTCAGTTAGCCGTGGAATAAACTGTACATGTACTTTCCGTATTGGGCTAAGATAGGGATAAGGTATAAGTCAGCTGCATGGAGCTTACTGTAAGAGACATCTGATCAAATGCAATTTCTGACCACGTAAAAGAGGGGTTTTCCCCCTTTATTCTAGACCAGGGATCAGCACACTTTTTCTATAAAGGACCAGTCAGTAAATATTTTAGGTTTTGCAGACTATACATTCTCTATTGCAACTCCTCTACTCTGCTCCTTTGTATAGGACTTAAGAATTTACAAATTACTTTCACACACCTCTCTTTCAGTCCTAAGAAAAGCCCATTAAGGACATTATAACATTCTAGACCAGGGATCAGCACACTTTTTCTATAAAGGACCAGTCAGTAAATATTTTAGGTTTTGCAGACTATACATTCTCTATTGCAACTCCTCTACTCTGCTCCTTTGTATAGGACTTAAGAATTTACAAATTATTTTCACACACCTCTCTTTCAGTCCTAAGAAAAGCCCATTAAGGACATTATAACATTTTCATTGTGCCTCTTTTACGCATGAGGAAACTGAGGCTCAAGGACCTTCCATGATTGGCATAAAGCCATACAACCAGTTATGTGCAGAATAAGAATGGGATTCAAGGGGTCTCTTTCATGAACTTTCATCGTGTGTCAGCCTCCTCAGCAGTTGTCTACTTCCACCTGGTTGGAAGGGAATGTAACCAAAAGGTTGGCTGCAGCTTTACACCAGCAGTATGGATGCAAAGAAAATGATACATCTACACAAAGATGAGTATTTTATTAATTCCTTCCCATAGACTCACCATGGCTGTGGGCAAGGGAACTACTGCTGTCTGGTCTTTCCCTGTTTGGTTCCAACACATTCTTCTGGAGAATTCTGCAGCATGAAAAACGTGGGGTAGGATATCACTACAGGCTACACTTTAAGTGTGTGTTGTTTGATTGATTTCCTAAAAGGATTGTGGAAATTTACATTAGGCAAATATTAGACAGACGTGAGTTCGAATCCTGGGTCCATCACTTAATAACCATGTGACCTTAGACAGATTGTTAAAGCTTTGAGTCTCATTCTCCTCACTGGTACAGTGGAGATGAAAAATAACAATTCTTGTGGCATGGTAATGAGCTTAAATGAGATCATGTGTGTAAAGCCCTCAGCACTGTTTTCTTGCCTCCTCTTTTGGTGGAGGCTGAATGGCTGACCAAGCCACATGTGGCAAAGAGAGTTGCATGGGAGAATTGACCTTACCTGAAAAGGCATGTGTTCCCAGTGACCCATTCCTCCCAAGTCTGGAGGGAATGATCAGGCTCAGGATTTCTTTCACATCTGGACCTCAGAAGTTAACCATTTAAACACTGTATTATTTTTACTAAATTTATCATGAGTTACGTGGTTTGTATTTTATAGGAAAACTAATCCCAAGACATCAATCTATCTTTAAAAGTAACCAGTTTTTCCATGGCATCAGTATTCCTGAACCAGAAGACATGGTAAACTGCTCGATTTTAAATGTTTTATTATTTGTATTGCTACTTTCTTTAAAGGGGTAGTTGTTTCTTTTTTAATATTTATGCTTTTGGCTCCTGGTTTCCTTATGACACACTGACACAGATTGAAGAAACTATATAAAAACTACATAAAATGAACCAGGAAAATACTTTAAAAGTTTATTTGTTCTGTCTATTCAAAGATTAATTTAATGTTAAATTTGAGATGAAAGTGTGTTTAGTTCCATACATAATTACCTTGATCTTTTTAGTCAAAACACTCAGATACCTTTCCCTGAAATAATTATTTTCTCATAAACAGTACTTACTGTAGTCTTCTTTATTTTGAAAAAATGCATGCTCTATTTTTTTCAGCTTGTGAAGCAAAGTCAAATCAATAAAAACCGTTTCTTCACAATGTATCTTTTCACGTGGAAGGTCATTCTACAAAGTGATCCTCATTGTATTCAAATCAAAACTCCAAACCATAGTGGTCACCTCCGGGCTCTTGCTGAGGTCTTCGCCTTTCTTTGGGAATGTGTCAATGACCGCTTGAGCCTCTTACTCTCTGTAGATGTCGATTTCCTGTCTGTGTTCCCTAAGTTTGGGCTGTGATCTTTAAAGCTCCATATGATCTAGATTCTGCCTATAGAGTGAAAAGAAGTCAGGAGAGGCATGTGTCCACACTCAGGCTGTGTTTGAGCCAGAGTGGTGCAGGGGTGGGGAAAGTCTGTAAAGCCAGATCATGATTTAGGGCACGTGTGAACAATCGGAGGTTCAAATGGCCCCAACTATCTGTAGACACTCTGTGCATTTTAAATTCATTATTTCATATAATACCTTGATTTATGTACTGGATTTCTTTTTTATTATATTTGTTAAAGCTTTTAAAGGTTAAAAGTTGAATTACAAGGCTAGAGGTTAAATTACAAAAGAATGTTTATATAACATGTTTAATTTAAAGAATAAAATACAACAGATTTTCATGTACCTGCTGCCGAGTTAAAGAAGAATATTACCATAGTCTTTGAAGCTTCCCCCTCCCCATGTACTCCCCTCGATCCTATTCGCTTCCTTCCTTAGTATCCTGAATTTTGTGTTAACCATTCTGTTGCTTTCTGTGGTGCTCTTACACATGTAGTTCAATATATTTCCATTAATGCTCAAAGCATCCCTGTAAGTGGATCAGGCGCATATTACGGTACTGTTGTAGAATTTCAAAAGGGAACATTTGGAACCCACATTTTCAAGCATCAATTGCAAGATATTGTGAAATTAAGAAAATAACTCCAGTTTTTGTCTTTCAAACCTTTACACTATAGTGTAAAATTACGTAAAAATATGATTTAAAAATCTTGAAAAGGAATTATCTATCCTACTAGGAGATCTTTCTCCAAAGTGTCTTATTACTAATATATTCAAAATATACATCACTTTGTTATTATGTGACATTGAAATTATTTGTTTTCTAGGAAACTCTTGAAGAAAAGTTCTCAGATGCTCATCCCGTGGCTTTGAATTTTATGAAGGTACTTAATCAATTATAACCATTATTGACTGCAAATTGTAATGATTGAAGCTGGTAACTTTGGGAGGGGTGGACAGTAGGGCAAATAATGGCAAGGTAGGATGTAGCCATTGAAAATGATAAGGAACTGTAAAATAATTGCAGTTAAAGGAACATCAGTGATGTAAGCAGTAATCATTCTAACATATCCATTAAAATTAGTAGAAGATGAAAGAGAATAATTAGGGCTTGCTGTGATGAACACCATTACTTCTTTTGCATTCAGCAGGAAATTTGACTGTTAAGTCAGTATATTCAGACTATGGAAATTTATGGGGTGAATATATTCCTTAAGTCTGAAGCTCTAGAACTCTACTATCCAATATGGTAGCCACTAGCTGCATGTTACCATTGAGCACTTGAAATATGGCTAATTAGAATTGAGATGTACTAGATTTCTATGAAAATTACTATAATATATAAAATATTTCATTATAATTTAAAAAATATTAATTACATGTTGAACTGATAACGTTTTAGATATATTGGGTTAAATAAATTTTTTAATTATTTTTAAAAAAATTAACAGGGGGGCTGGCCCTGTGGGGTAGTGGTTAAGTTTTGTGCACTCCTCTTCAGCAGCCTGGGTTTGTGGGTTCGGATCCCAGGTGTGGACCTACACCACTCATCAGCCATGCTGTGGCGTGATTCACATACAAAATAAAGGAAGATTGGCACAGATATTAGCTCAGGGCTAATTTTCCTCAAGCAAAAAAAGAGGGAGATTGGCAACAGATGTTAACTCAGGGGGAATCTTCCTCAGGAAAAAAAATTAGTAGGCCCAGCCCCAGTTGCCTAGTGATTATGTTCAGCATGCACCACTTCGGCAGCCCAGGTTCGGTTCCCAGGTGCAGACCTACACCATTCATCTGTCAGTGGCCGTGCTGTGGTGGCGGCTCACGTACAAAAAAAAAAAAGGAAGATTGGCAACTAATGTTAGCTCAGGGCGAATCTTCCTCAGCAAAAAAAAAAAATTAGTAGAAGACCAGGCAAAGTCAGAACCGTGCAGACAGTAGATGTAGTCCCTGCACCAGGCCCAAAAGAGATAGTCAAACAAAGGACAAATTCTAATAAAAAACAGAAGAAACTCACCTATGACCAGTCTTCCATTCATGCTTGACCAACTGAGGCCATGCTAGAAGGTGTGACTCTTCCATTCAGCGTGGATACTGAAAGCCCTTGGGATAGGGATGGAGATACCAGTAAGGGTAACTATCTTTAATAATCAGTTAAGTTCTGTCTACAGCATATGTTTCCAAACTACTCATCAGAATGACCTGGGAGCTTTTTGTATATATATACATCCCAGTATCTAACCTCAGATGTATAGAAGCAGAATCTCTGTGACTAGGATCTTGGAATTTGTATCTTTAAACATCCTCCTAGGTGATTATAATAAGCATTCTAGTTTGAAATTCATCTGATCTAGAAGGTGGAGCCATCTGGATGACCTAGAGTCAACTTTGTACACGAGCCTTTGTGCTAGTGCTGGTCGTTGCCAAGGTGCTCTCCAGGGTGCTGGATCCCTTCAGTCTGGGTCTTCCTGAGACTGGGAGCCTGACACCTCTGAGCTCTCAGACTGCCCTTACCACTGCTCCACTGGACTTCAGCTGCCTTCTCTCTGTCTCACTGCTCTGATCTGCCTTAACCCAGCACTCAGAAGCCCTGCCTGGAAGTCCAGTTCCCTGGCCTTGTTGTGGACAGGTTGTTCTGAACCACATGCAATTTAGCAAAACCTTGGGGAATGGGGGCGTGGGGGGTGGGTAGGTCAAGCACTGCAAGCCCAACCCATTCTCAGGTAGAGGCCAAACCTTCCTATGGTTATTCCTCCAAGTAACCAGAGAAAAAAATTCCTGGAAGGCAACTCCAGGGCGTGAAAACTCCAAGGTATAGGGACAAACTCCCTGTCCTCATCTCCAAAGGTGAAGTGTCCTGTTGGCCTGCTCCAGATTCTGGATGAAGCTAATTTTGTCACTCAACTATTTGATTTAGACCCATAATGTGTGACCTGAGACCAAAGGATTCTCTCAGTGCCTCAAGAATTGTGCTCTTCTGTGGACCACAGCCTATCTCCTAGACTCCCGCCCCATGTTAGACGAAGGAAGGCTTTCCTTCACTAATTGCAATAGAGACATCTCTAACAACAAATAAATAGCAGCTACCATAACAGGTGGTTATCCCATGGGACTTGCCGTAATCTATGCTGGGAACTGCTCAAGTGGGCTCAAGCCAAGGACGGGGGTGGCATGCAGTGTCCCATCTATGGCAGATCTTTTGTGTTCTCTTCATTAGGTTTCAAATGAGACAATGGGCACAGTATTTATTTTTTATTACTCATTTGTTTTCGTAGTCATACCATCCTGTCACTGTATCTGTTTAATCTGGTCATTAAGAAGAAGACTGTAGACTCTTGAAAATTTTATTAAAGGACTTTCTGTGAAATTTGAAGTTTCAAGAAAAGGATCCTGACTTGGACTTTGCAGTTCCAATTTCTCATATGCCATCTTAAAAACCTTTCCCAGGTTAGGAAGATACTTATCAGGGAGCAGCTCTGAGAATTCGTCAGCCTCTCAGTGTACAGAAAGTTATTAATCCAGGCAGTCGAGGACTCGGAAGGCTCAATTCCATCCAGTTCATCTCAATGCTCCTAAAACTAATCAAGCAGGACATCATTCCAGCCCAGGCCGCATGGCTCAGTATTAGCAGCCTCTTCTTAGAATCTAAAAATGCTCTTCAAAATAACCCTTAGGTAGTTAGTGATAGACTAGATTTCAATACATCGGAAGCCCATACAAGGAGTTGAATGAATTCAGGATATATTCAGAAGTAAAACTGATAGGACTTAGTCATGATTTAGATCTGGGGAGTGAAGTAGAGGAGGGTGGCAAAGATGAGGTGTCTGTATCAGTTTCCTAGGGCTGTCATAACAAAGTACCTGGGTGGCTGAAAACAACAGAAATTTATTCTCACAATTCTGGAGATTAGAAGTCTGAAATTAAAGTGTTGGCAGGGCCACGTTCTCTCTGAAGCTTTTAGGGGAGGATCCTTCCTGGCCTCTTCTGGCTTCTGGTAGCCCCAGGCATTCTCGGGCTTGTGGCAGCAGAACTCTAGTCTCTGCCTCTGTCTTCACATGGTGTTCTCTCTGTGTGTCTGTCTTTGCATTGTCTTCTCTGTTCTTATAAGGACACCAGTCATGTTGTAGTAGAATCCACCAGTATGACCTTTCTTTATTAATTACATCTGCAAAGAGGCTGTTTCCAAATGTGGTCACGTTACGAGATACCAAGGTTTAAGACTTCAACATGTATTTTGGGGGGACACAGTTCAACCCACAGCAGTTCCCTTGAGAAAAGATAGAGATGTTAAGTAGGCCATTGAATAGGGAGGTCTGGAGTTCAAAGGAGAGGTCTGGACCAGAAATATACATGAGGAAGTCTCTGGTAAACCTGGATAATTGAAGCCATTGAGCATCAGTGAGATTAGCTAGAAACCTAGAACAGATGAGAAGAAAGGGAAACCTGGGATTGAGCCTTGAGGAATTCTATCCAACCATTGTAGAGAAGGCAAACCTGCAAAGGTTGGTTTGAAAAGGAGCAGCCAGGAGGTAGGAGGAAGGAAAATGAGGCAGGAGAGAAGCCAAGTGGAGAGTTTCAAGGAGGACGTGGTCAGTAGTGTCTGACACTATTGAGATGAGATATCAAAATACCTATTGATATTTAAGGATATGGAAGTAGAGGTCATAGGTGTGAATAGCAAGAGCCACTTAAGTGGAATGATGGAGGCAAAAGCCAGAATGAAGTGGTGAAGAAATAGAAATTACCACAGTTTATATTCAAAATAGTCTTTCTGTCCTGGTTATAGTCCTGACAATGTTAGGGTTTGAGAAGATGGATTCCCAGTGGCAGCTGGACTTAATTATGGCATGGATCATTAATTGGGGGGGGGTGATCTGCTTGGAGCAGGTGGTAGCTGTGGAGGGACAGGTGAGTCTATACTGAGCAGCGTTGTTTCTTGAAGAACAGAGCTAATCAGACACCTCTCTGAAAGGCAGGTGAGACTGCTTAGGGGCAGTCAGCATGTGTTCCCAGGGATGGGAGATATCTGAGGTCAGCTGGGGTTAGGGAGGAACAGACACTACAGGGCAAATCTCTGGACACCTGAATGCCTCAAAACAAAGTCTGTGTTGATGAGCTTTACTTCTTTCTTACAGTCATAAGGCAAGAAATTTCAGATCTCCTGTGTCTGGTGTACTAAGGCTGCTCCAATTCTTTATCGTAATCTGTCTTTCTTCGTGGGAAAAGCCCCGTTCTCTGGCCAAAGAGTATCAGGGCTTCTTGGAGAAAATCTTTGTGTCAAGACTGCACAACTCTGCTGCTCCCCACTCTCACAGGCAGAGCTAGAGGCTTCTAGTAGCCTCTCATATAAAGGGTCATAATGCTACTTTTTCCTTTTTGCCTCTAATTATTCTAATATGAATATATATTCCAATTATCCCCATTTTAAATTCTTTTCACTGCTAAGACTAACACTTCCTCAGCCCTCTTCTTAAGCCAGGGGTTCTCCAACCTGAGCAGCTATCAGAACCACCCAGAGAGCTTGTTGAACAGATTGCTGGGCTCCACCCCCATTGCTTTTGATTCAGCAGGTCTGGGGTTGGACCCAAGAATTTGCATTTCTAACAGGTTCCCAGGTAATGCTGATGTCGCTGGTCCCGAGATCACTTTGAAGAGTCTGACAAACTATTTGCTTTGACAAGTAATGAAGAGATGTCATTGGTGGAAACATCTGATCTACTTGTAGCCTCTTCCAGAGACATTGAATGTTTATTTCTACCCTCAAAAGAGTGAAGTGACAAAAGTAAAGCAATTCTAGTTATTAACCAGTTCCAAGTACTTGATAATATACAAACTTGAAGATTTTCTAAACTCGTATTTGCTCTAACAAGTTAGTATTCAGTTTTTGGGCACAGTAACAAAAGAGGCCACTCTTTAAATATCTTCTTTGCTTTTCTCTTCTTCTGAAGGAGTGTCTGAAGATGAATCCAGATGACAGATTAACCTGTGCCCAACTCCTGGAGAGCCCCTATTTTGATTCTGTTAGAGAGGACCAAATTAAAAGAAAAGCACGTAATGAAGGAAGAAACAGAAGACGTCAGCAGGTACCTCTGTTGAAAAGTTAAAGCACTATAAAAATGATTCTTTTTTTCCTTTCTCTACCTTTCAAAGTGAGACTAGGTGGACACCAAGCCCTCTTCTTTGCACTGGTTTAGCTGTATTTGTTTACCTTAATAAATATTGGTGATTGATATAATAAAACCATTAAACTATGAAAATATCCAGATTGTTGCAGCATCTTATTCTAAATACACTTGAATGAAATTATTGCACGATTTTTTTGCTACACTGATTGGATATCCCACCTGCCAGATCATGTACCCAAAATACAAAAACTTCGTGTAACAAAATCCTGATTACAACAGGGCTGAATTTGACCAGCGTCACAGAGGAATCCCAGTACCCTTCTGTAGCCTCCAGATGCACACAGAAAGGAAATTTGACTCTTCTGTCTTTCACTCATGGCAGCACCTAAGTCTGCCTTTCCTGGGCTTTTCCTCAAGACCAAGGACAAGCTCTGGCCAGATACTAAGAGATGAAACTCAGACAACTGGGAACCATATCCTGTCCTAAAATGTGCCGATATTGCAGAATAATATGATGACTATGACAAACACTGATTCTGCAGTTTATTAGCTGACCACCCTTTACTTGATTTGAGAAAACTTCGAAGTTAAAACATAAATTCCATGGAAGTAGGTTTGTTTTGGTTTGGGGTTTTTTTCTCATTTTGTATCCCCTGCACCTAAAACAGTGTCTGATGCATAGAAGATACTTAATAAATATTATCCAAATAAATAAATAGATGAGTATTGCTTATTAATAAACCAAGGTGGTAATTTTCCATTTATCAGACTGACAATCGTCCCATTGTGTGTTTGCTTAGTCTTCCACCTTTGATCCACTTTTTGGTCATTTATCTTCTCCTTAGCATGTCCACCATAAAGGAAAAAAGCAGTCTTTTTTTTCAACCTTTTGATAGTTAAAATAGATGTTTGTTGAGAGAGAAACATCAAACTAATCAATAAGATGAAATGTTAAGATGATTTCTGTGTATCCAAAATCTGTGGGTATTTAAGTTTTTATTACATAGGCCATTTTACCTTGACCTGTTAAAGTTATGTGTTTGCAAGTCAAACCCAATACAGTTTACTTAAATAACCAAAAGATTAGGGTTTGTTCAAATAAGTCTGAGGCTGCAGTTTGAAATACAGTGTGAATTACGAGTAAAAACCCTGTCCCCTCAAAAACATCTCCCCAGCTTCCCCACCTTTGACTGGGAGGGTGAACAGCGGCCCTGCTCCATCCTGCCTCTTGGTCCCCGATTTACTTTCTACCACACCCACCTCAAGGTGGGTGGGGATGCTGCTCTCCCATTAAGTCTCCAGTTCACAGCTGTCTTCTCTTTCCTTAATACTTTGTAGCCCAAATGATACAGATCAGGGATTTTACAGAAGGCCTTTTTTCACAAAGAGCAGCATGCACCTAGATAATCTCACTTACAAAGATTATGTCATGTTCTCTGTCCTTAGTCAACTGCATCCTGTTTACCTCTGTGTGGTAGCCCCACCGGGGCATCCACCATGAGACCACGGCTAAACACCTCCCTCCACCAAGTGAAGTCCCCAGAGAGCAAGGCCAAGAGAAAGGCGGGGATGTCTTTCAAGTTCTGGTTTTCTTTCTGAGCACACACTTCTTTTCTAGACATTTTACCATATCAGAGAATAAACTAAAAATTCAGAAAGATCTTTTCATTCAGAGTGGTTTTACTTTGTGAGTTCAAATTTCTACCTAGATCCCAGCTTCTAGATCTCTGAGTGGATGACTAACAATTTCCTTAAGACTAAATACTGTTTAAAGTTGATATTAAAGAGGTTTTAAATCTTTGCTGTTCTGCCAATATCCTAAAGTTAATATGTGAGCATTTGAGATGGGTAGAATGTAGACTCTTGGAATTATTGTTTAATAGCTGGTGGGCATCTTTTAAACACTATCTATTCAGAAATGAGTGTATTGAAATAATTCATAGTACATCTATGAGAATTCTAGAATAAGTAATAGAAGCTAATTTTTAAGTATCAGAGGATCACAATTTTTTGGAAAGGTAACCCTACTTAATTTTAAAATTGATGCCTTTTGACATCTTTTTACCATGTGTATTTTTTTTGTTTTACCATCTTTATATCAAACTGTACAAATAGGAATTGTTTTCAATTTACTTTCTTATTTTTGTCTTGTTCTACTATTAGAATCAACTGTTGCCTCTCATACCAGGAAGCCACATCTCCCCCACACCTGATGGAAGAAAACAAGTCCTCCAGTTAAAATTTGATCACCTTCCAAACATTTAGGAAAATGTTCTTTCAAGTGGAAAGTAATTTAATGTGTACACGTTTTTGTACAAGAGAGATAGGAATTCGCAGTGTTTCAAATGCAAATGAACCATATGAAAATTAAGATGCTTTCTAGAATTGTTTTGCTCTGATCATTACTGATTCCTCTGCCCGTGCTTTTTACATGAGCCAACTTTATCTTTTAGAACATTTTCTTTAAATGTTATAAAGTCTGAAGCTGCACATATGGAGGAGACATTTTCAATTTCATCAGAGCAGCCGCTCTTGAGAATTTATATTGAGAATTTGTGGGCTTATACTTTGACTTATGAAAAAAATTTACAGGTATCGTCTTGCTGCAGCTGACCGCATAATGTCGTAGAGCAATATCAAATAGCTTGCCTAGCTGTTGTTTGTGTAAGGAATGACATTATGTTTCTGCGTTTCAGTTCACTCTCACTGTAACCAGGTCTGTTGAGTAATGCTGGTATTTTATTCTGTGTTTTTATATTGGTGTGGGAAGGAAATCTTGAAATGTCATCTAGGTTTATCCCTTGATTCCAGGGCAGACTCTACTTTCTCTGCCTCATGAGACATTGATGATTCTATTTTTAAAGCTAGCTAGAAAAAATTCCATACATTTACATGGCAAATAGTGGGTGAACTACAAGAAATTACCATCCTCATGACACAATGCCCCGGGATAATTGACTGCGGACTCCAGCACTGACTCCTTTGCTACGTCATGGTTCCTTGTCCTCCTTTTTCCCTCCTGGCTAAATCCCCTCAGTACCTAACCCTGTCCTCCTCGGTGTATTTTCTAAATCACTCATTGTCAACACTCTCTTCCAAATATTTGCATCCATAGCCTCTGCAAACTTGTGCAGCCCTAAACTTGTGCATCATGATCAGGCCAGGTTTGTAAACACTTCTGAGAGCAGGAGGATTATCTTTCAGTTACCTTCATTTTGTGTCTTTTACTGAAACAAGAAGCAAACAAACAAAACACTTCAGTAGGTGAGCCGAATTTACATGGGATATTTTCCCAAGTAAACCTGACATACATACATATAGAAATATATAGAAATATGTGTTTATAATTATAAGCTTTGAAGCATCATAGTAGATGCCTTTTATCCTCGACATCTAAGAATGATGCATAATGTTTGAAAGTTTTCAAACATTTCACATGTTTTACTTTGCTAACAAGGAATTCGTGTAAAATAATAGCATGGGGCTGTCTGTCCGTGTCTGGCATAAAGGCACAAAATAGTGATGTTCCCATCAATATATATTAAAATTATTTCATTAACTCTTTTCTGCTCGTGGATCTGGCATGCTCACCTGAATGTTGTCAAATTTTGCAAATATGTATAATTCCAGAAATTCCTTCTATCTGGCACCAAGACACCAAGCATAAATTGTTATTACGAAAACACTAACACCTTATGCTCATCTCTAAATGTCTGTTGGACTTATAAACATGGTTATGTAAACTTCCAGAGAATTGCACTCAGTAATTTTGGAGCATCTCTTTACTAAGGAATTATGGCATCTAAACAATAGTTCCTTACTCACTGGAAAGACATTTTAAGTGGGCTTATTTGGCCATTTAACATTCTTAGTGTGAATATAAGCTGCTAGGCTCTTCTTATTTTCATCGTATTATCAAGAATGTGCCTCTTGAGATTTGTATGTTTCTTGCATTTTTAATAAGATGATGCTACAGGTGCAAGGAAAATGAGAAAGAAAAGATAAAAGGCAACTTTGCTGAAAGATTTCTTTTTAGCTTTCATAGTGTTTTTATTATTTAAGCCTTCTTATTGCCAGACCGCTCGTGCTGCTGTAGCTCTCCAGGATTGTGTGTTATCTGTAGAATACACACACACGTGCAGAAATTAAGAGGACAGCGCCAGACTCCAGTACCCACTTTGTAATTGTGCTGCAAACAACAGTGGAGTTTTTGGCCGGGTGACTGTCTTCCCTTATTTTTGCTTACATTTAAGAACCAATTCACACTAGCATTTCTCTCCCAATTTTTTTCCTTAAATCCATCATTTAGGTGTCACTGGGGAGGGGAGAGGAGAAAACGTCTAAATGCTTAGAAAAATGGTCTAATGCCATCATACCACAGTTGTATTACCGCAAAGAAAAAGAATCTTCTGATGACATGTGCATACTTAACTTTCCTGGGTGACCCAGGCCACGGAGCACTGCCCCCTGCATCACTTAGGCACAAATCTAAACCGCAACACTTTTCTCTTTCGAGTGTGTAGTTCTCACCTCTGTACTACACAGATTCCCTTGCATTTCTCAGCCACATGGAAGACAGTTGCACTTCAGCATCTAGGACTCAAATTAAGTAATGACTTTTGTAAAACTTATCCTCAGCAAATAGTCTTGACCCAGGCTCTTGACAGAAGCCCACGCGATTCTGTCACCACGCGTTTCCTACAATTTCTGGCTTACCTTGGCTGGTCTCACCCTTGCCAGCTTTCGAGCTTTTAAATTCATTTATATAGCTCTCTCCTGATGCTCTCCAAATACTGCGCCATCACGGTGAGTGACACTGCCTGAATACTCCCTTTTCTCCACCTTGAGTGACCTCTTCACGCCCTGGTTTTCTCTGACTTTCCACACACATGTACCTGAGAATCTCCAAGCAGTTCTTTTATTTTGCAGAGAATTTTACAGAGAATTAAAAATGCAGACTTTGCTTCTTCTTGGTGCTCCTGCTGCTTCTTCAGGGCAGAAGGAAATACCCCATAGAAAAGGACATTTAATTAGACCTGTGTCGGCCCTGTGAGCCTATTTGCTTTGACTCTGATTTTGGCCTCTGTTTCAGTCCTGAGGATATTTAAATGTCGTTGTTCCAGCTTGCCTCAACCACAAAGCCCTTTATGGGCTCACTTTGAAGATGATTTTAACTAGACTGAATCATTAAAAAGTTGTGTTCAAGAAGCTTTTGAATGCTCTGGATTAGGGAGATGATTAAGTAAAGGGTAAAAACAAAGCTCTCAGGCAGGGAATGAGAGGTGAGCAGAGAGTAGATCTTCCCTCTTCTAGGTTGGCTGTTTCACAGCTCTTCATTGCTCATGCAGATTTCCCAAACTACAAGACATAAGAAAATTAATATGTTATTTTGACAAATTTTTCAATTCTGAAAATGTTTTATGGTTCTTTAGCTTACTTGCCATAGAATTACAATTTTTCAAAAAGATGGCACTTTCTTAGTCATTTATTACCACCAATGGTTTCCAATCCTGGTTTTAGAATAGCTTGAATTATTTAAAAAAAATTTTTTTTAATTAAAACATACTACTGGAAGAGGAATGATCCTAAAATTCCAAAAATAGTTAAATCTTGGAAACATTGGGGAGTCAGTGTAAGGTATTAGCTGAATCACAAATATACAGATTTTTAATGCATATAGTTAAGACATAAAGATAAAATGCCACTCACAAGTTAATGTTCTGGGTGTGTGCATGTTATGTTTGTTTTCTATTAAAATCATTAACTCAACCACTTCATTCTTGTTTTAGTAGAAGACTAACAGTCTTAAAGAGTGGTACTTTAGAGAATAATAGAAATATCATTTGATCTGGGGTTAGGACACCTGGTTCTAGGCCTGGCTTGCAACTCTCTGTGTAGCCTTGTCACAACGTATAGCTTCTGTGCCTTCACTTTCTCATTTGTAAAATAAGAGAGTGGATAAGCTAGATGATTTCTAAGGGTCCCCTTCAGCTCTAAACTTCCGTGATTCTCTAAGCACATGGTGTTTGTGTCCTGGACATATCTCCCACTAGAAGACGCTTTCTGGGGATTGCTTAACGATACCAAGATAAACTGTGGTGTTTGTGATCTAGCCAGGAGCCTGGAGATCTCTCTCTTTCTCATCTCTCTCTTGCTTGCTTGCTTTCACACGCATACAAACACACATGACTACCCACTGCTAGTTCTATCCAGTCAGTAGTAGTTTACAGACAGCCACCTAACAGAGGTTAAATTTTATAAATGAAAGTGGATTTTAAAGCTAATTATCACTAGATTTTAATTAATGTAAATAAAACAGGTGTGCTTTCAAAATGTAGAGTAATATGTAATCATTCTTTGATGTTTTAATCTAATGCTAATTAGCTTGGAAATGACACATATGCTATGAAATAACAATTTAAGATATCTATTAAAGCAAAGAACATTCAGTACATTTCTAACTTCAGGAAAACTTTTAGTACTTTCAGAAAATGATAACAGAATTCTACAAATATATCTGAATTACATCCATTTCATATTTCAGCAGAAGGGAGTCAGACTCAATCAGCCTTATATTTAACTTATAATTTACTCAAGCTGAGAATTGGTTATGCTACTTATCAGGCATATAAATGAAGTGTTTAAAAGTTACAATTTTTCTGTTGTGAACACTGGTCACCGACCATCTCTCTAAATATTGTCACATTGAAGATGCTGTGTGTCTACTTATGATTTCAGAACATATTTGTATAGAAGCAGGTCTAGGGCCGGCTCCGTGGCTTAGCGGTTAAGTGCGCGCGCTCTGATACTGGCGGCCGGGGTTCGGATCCCGGGGGCGCCCCGAGGCACCACTTCTCCGTCCAACGCGAGGCCGAGTCCCACGTACAGCAACTAGAAGGATGTGAACCTATGACATACAACTATCTACTGGGGCTTTGGGGGGAAAAAACTGAATAAAAAAAATCTTAAAAAAAAAAAAAAAAAAAAAGAAGCAGGTCTATTTAAAATCACATGAAATTATAGCTACATTTAAATTAGCATTTGTTAATTAGCATAATGGCAGTTTATACCGCTAGAAACAATTCACTACAAAGCAGTTTTATTTAGTTGTATTATGTTAAATGTACATGATATTTTTTTAATTTAGCTTAAGATATTTAGCAAACCTAAATATGGAATTAAATACTTTGGTGACTTTGTATATATAACTTAATATTATTCAGTTTATTTTAATAAAAATTAGAAATATTTCTGTCTCCTAATTTCTTTTCAACTCAGCTATTAGTCCATTGTCTATTACTTTCTATTTAAGTGAGAAAAACTGTCATCTTTATATATGAATTCCAGAACTTATTTAATTTCCTATCAGTTGTAATATCTGAACAGCTGACATGGCAAACTATTCCTTTTTGCGCCTTGGGTTGGGAATTTTTACAAGTGGAAAAACTAACAAAATCTTTTTCAGTCTGACTGGCTAGATGTTTATCCTGAGAACATCTTTACGACTTTACTTTGAGGCTGTATGATTCTTTTTCTTTCATTCATTGGAATATTTCTCTGACCTTTACAATACTTAAGCTACAAGATGTGAATTTTTTTTTTTTTTTGGTGGAAAGATGCTCTCTGAGCTAACATCTGTTGCTAGTCTTCCTCCCTTTTTTTTTTTTTTTTTTTTTTGCTTAAGGAAGATTAGCCATGAGCTAACATCCGAAGCCAATCCTCCTCTTTTTGCTGAGGAAGATTGGCCCTGGGCTAACATCTGTGCCCATCTTCCTCTACTTTATATGGGACGCTGCTACAGCATGGCTTGATAAGCAGTGCATATGTCCACACCTGGAATCCGAACCTGCGAACCCAGGCCACTGAAGGGGGGTGCACCGGACTTACCCACTACTCCATGAGGCGGCCCCCAATGTGAAA